CCTTGAATAACCTCTGAACAAAGCAGGAAAAACATAGGACTAAAAACTTCAGTTGGACAAAACAAGACTAATTGGAACAAAACATATTATTCTGGGCGAGCAGAACCAAGTGYGAATTTATCACAGAAACCATGAGCTTAAACAAGACAGATTTTTTAAAAAATATATTTATTTTTTAGTTGTAGTTAGACACTGCCTTTATTTATTTCTTTTTTCGTGGCACTGAGGATCGAACCCAGGGCCTCACACATGCTAGGCATGCGCTCYACCACTGAACCATGACCCCAGCCCAACAAGACAGGTTTTGAAGAAAAAAATGACATGACTGTAATTACTCCCGAGATGTTAGGTTGTCCTTCAAATCAGTCCTTGTTCTTCCACCCAAAATAAAATTTGAATATCTTTTGCTCTAATTCCTTCCTTAGCTTGAATGGTGAAGGATACAGAGCAGGTGGAGGACTGGGAGGCTCTGCAGCTGGCTCAGATTTTCTTTCCCCTTCATTGTTTGCATCATTCCTGAAGGCAGAAGTCAGGGAGTTTGGGCCTTTAGGAGGCCTAAACTTTGAGTCAGAATACTGAAGGCTTTAAATCAATCAACAGTATTTTTATCATCTTTTGGGTTCTTTTTCTCTTTCATCCTAGGACTTTTTAAAATATTTCAACATAAGGTCCAGAGGAATATCTGGGGGGATTTTGTTGTCTTTTCCTCTACCAGCATACTTTTTCTCTAGACTAGAGGTTTTGAAGCTAAGCTGCCCATTATGTGAAAGTTCCCACCCAGAGATGGTGCTGCACAACAAGGAAGGAATGCACACCTTTGTCCACCTGTCCACTCTCTTTGCAGAGATTTAGCATCAATGGCAGGTCATTGCCATTGACCTGCCTGGACCAACCCTGCAGGAAGGGACTCTTGATACCCTTAAACCTTATGAGGTCACCCCAGAACTGCAGATTAGGACTCACTCAGATTCTCTAGTCCAAAGATGGTGGAGCATGGACTCTTGTCATTCCAGCCCCCACCCCCAACACACATACAAAATAGAATTGAYGACCTCCTGAGAAAGCCGACCCTATACTGAGTGACACTCTGGTCACTGGGAAGTGATCAGTTTCCCCTTCCACCATGGGGCGGGACCTGACTTGGGCAGATTCCTCTGAGGGACTCACCAGTTTGGTGTCCTGTCCTGAAACCTGCTTTTGTTCTCCTTCTGAGTCTGACCCAGGAAGCAGTGGGAGCTGGGACCAGCACAGCTTAAGTGAGAGTCAGGATCTGGCAAGTGGCCAGGTGGCACCTATCCATCTGTCACCAGGTCTGCAGCCACAGCTTTCTCCAGTTCCCCCACAACAGTCATTGGTTTCCTAGACCATACACGAAAATGTTACAGAAAATTATAGTGCTGGAAAAAGACACGGGGCACTTGGAGATGTAGCAGAGCAAGGTTTATTCAAGCACTGGTGCTGGCTCAGTGGGATCTTCTCCAAAAGCTGAATCCAGCCCTTTGTTTCAGGTTTCAAAACTTTCTCATGGAAGTAGCTTTATTTTTTTCCCCCATCTCCAAAGCAGCTCTGATTCCTGCCACAACTGCTGAGCAAGCATGATTACAGAAGCAGAAACTAGCAGGTTAACAGAGATAAAAATGAACATCTTAGGAAGGACTTGACATTTCAATGTTGCTTGCAAGAGATGTGGTCTCTCCCTCTTGTAAAGCCACTAGTATTCACTCATGGACACTTTTTTAAAAATATTTTTTAGTTGTAATTGGACACAATACCTTTATCTTATTTATTTACCTTTATGTGGTGCTGAGGATGGAACCCAGCGCCTCGCATGAGCTAGGCAAGCTTTCTACTGCTAAGCCACAATCCCAGCCCCTCATGGGCACTTTTGATGTCCATATCTAATCCTAATTTCCTTGAAAATGCCCCAACTGTGAACATCATAGATTAAGTTTCTACCTTCTCAAAAGTTTCTTCCCTCATAAAAACCTCAYAATGTGGATTGAAATTCAATATGTGTTTTGGAAGGGATAATATATATTCAAACCATAGCATCCCTGAAGTTTTTGCCATTATGTTATCTGGGAGAAAATCCAATCTTGTTGACAAGGGCATGATGAATCTGTTTCATACTTTAGAAACCAACTATAAACCAATTTTTAAGCAATAAATAACTTATGCCTCTAGTGAGGACCTCCATCTCCAACTGTACTTCAGGTCTAAAGTCAATATTAGATACTGTTCAGAAACATAAAATAAGTCAACTGGCCATAGCCATTCCCAAGTTTCAACTTGAATTTCACCATTTTGAAGATAGCTTGACAAAGAGAAAATAAAAACGGAAACAACAGACTCTTTAGGAATATAATTCAGATCAAGAGGAATACATGCAGATATGGAAGGGTGAGATGGGAAGGACAAAGGGATAAGGACAAATGCTGCACAGGAGAAGGGCAGGGCTAGTTAAGTACTAGGAACCCTGGGGTGACAGGCATGTGCATGGGCTTGCCTACACACACACTTGCAGCAGTCCCTGKGATTCATGGCCAAACTTTCAGAGCCATCTCTGACACACCAAAGAAAGGCAGGCTAGATAGATACTGTTAGCCCTGAGGGCACAGGTGTGCGCACACTGGCCACARTTGCTGGGATTCCCAGTGAAATAAGCCAGACTCAGAAAGTAGGGTTATATGTTTTCTCTCAAATGTAGATGCTAGAGGGAAAAAAGATAAAAGGATCTAAGGAAAACAGAAGGGAGACCAGTRGGATAGAGAAAGGAATGGGGGACGGCAAAGGGGGATGGGGGAAGGTACTGGGAATGAAATCAATCCAATTATGTTCTGGGCTTATATGAACATGCCACAATGAAACACCCTTCTGTACAATTATCATACACCAATAAATTTTTGGAAATACCATGAATCCCATTTTAATCGCCAAGACATTTTATTTCAAAATGGCAACCTCAGAATGGCTAAAGGTTTGTGTGTTTACCAAAGTGAGTGATAATCTTTCCCCTAGGATGTGTCAATTGTACTTCCTCTGATGAGTGGTCTTCCATTAGCRTTTAAAAGACATAATTTTTCTGGGTTAAAAGATTTTTTTTTTCTGAGGTCCTTCAAGTTTCATTCATTTTGGAAGTTTTTATTGTTTTTCTTTTCCCTGATGTTTTAGTTTATCAGCGTTTTCCTGAATTCTTTTCTATAATGRTTTAACTATGTTTATATCCATAAGGGCCACAAAAGAAAGTGAAAACAGAAACAGCTAAATGGAGAAATACTGTAAATAGTAAAYCTACTAAAGATTTTAAACCATGGACTATTTTGAATCAAATACTGTGTTGTCTGTTGGTTGAAGGGCTACACTCTGTACCACTCTGTCACAAAATGTTAGTCTATGACCACAAAGACAGTTGCAATTTTATTTCTTGTTACATACCCCATTTGCATCAATTCACATCACAGTAAAACCCCATATCTTCCTAATAAATACAATTCTGTAATATATAGTTTTTCCTGGGCCAAATGTTATATCGTCTACTCCTTTGCTCATGGGGCCTGTCTGGGCCCAATCCTCTGGGAACTCCTGTCCCCTGCCTGCTGTTCCCATGCCCCACCAGGATAGCATTTCTCTTCCTCTGAAATCATAATCCCTAGAAAGGTGTCCCCCAGAATGGGTGGAGTAAGAGGTGAGATGCCAGACCAGTTATGCCCAAAGTGTGCATCATATCAAAAGCATTTTTCTTCTTTATTGCCTTGCACTGTAATATGAAAAAAAAAATGTAGTGTTCCCCTTCTCCAGGAATATGTGTGACACTGCCGCAATGCAGCATTGGGCAAAAAAGATGATCATTGTCACACTTTAAAGGTTTCTCATCCTCTCATGTCCAACATTGCCTCATAGTTTCCAAATCRATTTCCCATTACATTGAATTTTGATAGAATGCTGGACTAACATCTTTTATTCTCTAGTAAAGAAAGGCTTGACATGCACTTCATGATCACTGTAGTTTCTTTTCACACATATATCTAAGGCTGAACCTCGAGTTCCTAGATATAAAGGCATGTGGGCACCAGTGCATTTTCCCATCACAATATTCTGGAAGATCACAAATACAAACTGTGTCTCTGCAAATCACTATAGGGAAGACATAATTTTGGTCCATGCAGCAGCCTTCTGTGTCACATAACAGTGCCAAGGGTGAGAGCACAACTGGTCTCATGACCCTCACAATTAGTATATTCTTTTAAGAAGCTGTAGTCATTCTTTTTTTCTGATTTATGATCTTGTCTCTACAATAAGGAGCTACAAATGAATACTATTGTATGGAATATTTGGCACAAGCAAGGATCCCAAGAATAAAGCTGATTGTGCAGTTTGTCAAAGGAACAGTTGCTCAGCATAAATCAAAGAACAGACAACAAGATTCATGAAATAGTTGCCTGTTCAAAATAAGAACAAGGAATTTTGTCATGTCTGAATCCAATGACATCTGTAGCATGTGTTGAAAGATTTCAGCCAGAAACAAGTGATACCTTGATTAAAAGCTAATGATWCTTGTTAGTTTGGGGCTGCATACTCCAAAATGATAAAAACAAAGTGAGGACCCTAAGATTTCATGCCTTCTAAGAAGAAGTAAAGTGTCAGGAAGAATCTTATCGAAGACATCCTTTATATTTTCACAAAACAAAATCAGTTATAGATATTGAACTCTATATCTGCATACTAGTTTCAACTTACTTTTTTAATCCAATAAGCACAGAAGATGTATGTAAGCATCCACACAAATTGCATAGCAAATAGAATACATTTTGTAGTTTATACTCACTACACTCTATATTATATGTGTGATATTTGTTATTATGTGCAGCRAGTTAGAAACTGTGATATAGCTTGAAGTGTTTTATATTTGCCACAAATGAACTGTGCTTGTTCTGGGATTTTTAGCAAGTTTTACTTCTTCAAATGCTTGATCTGTCTTTTCCCCTTTAATATCATACCTTTCAGCTTCTTCTGTCTTCTGACACAAGCAGAGAAACCACATGCTCAAATTTGGAAGAAGCCTCCCATGGTTTGATTTCAAAAGCGAAGTCATCTGCCTCCAGCATGCCACACGGACCTCCGTAGCAGGTGTCCAGGGTGGCTGTTGCTTCAGGAGCCCTTTCCAGGTAGCTGTGGTAGTAACAGTCATCATTGGTCATAACAGGAAAATGTCGGGGTGGCAAGTTATTTTTGAGCTTCATGTAGATCATGTCTTTAGCCCCAGAAGCAAATGCTGCAGGAGAGATGGTTTTGGCATCTCACTTGTACCCATTCTGTAAGGCACCTTCCAGGGAATCACACCCTCAGAGGAAGTGAAGCAGCATCCTAGTGGGTTYCTTACACTAGGTGCTTCCTCCTAGCAGAAGACAGGGGAGAGGAGTACCCAGAGCACAGGCAGCCAGAGAATACCTGTCTGAGGGATCAGGCCCCTTGAATGAGGGATACTGGGACAAAAATAAAATACAAATTTAAAAAAGAATGCAATCAAGTGGGAGGCAGGCAAGACTATTCTTGAAACACCAGATTTCMTAATAAGCTGGTCTTGTGGAGATCAGAGAGAGGGCCAAGGCTCTGAAAGGGGAGGCCAGGCTACTACATAACAATGCTGTGCTCATCAGGGGAGGCTGTGCTCAGTGAGCTGAATACCCTAGGGCCTCTGGGGGTGGGGGGTATTTGGGAAAGGTAGTATATACCTGGGCTAAAAAGTCTAGTTACATAGTGAAGCAATAAATAGGGGAAGAATAAATGAGTTTGGTGTAATTTTAGGATAATTAATGATTTTATCAAACAGAAAAGAATCAAGGGATCATTTGTGATTGAAAGACAATCTTTAAATAATAGCAAGGCAAGTGTACACTCCTCTTTACAGAAATTTTGATGGGGGAGAATTGGAGTTTGTAGAAATTGAATGGAGTTGGGGTGATTGATGAAATACAAGAGTAAAGTGATGTACTCTGTGGGAAATGAGGATGTATGACAACAGTGTCCCCAGGGAACTATGCCATTAACATAGTCCCGACACATTTTGTGTCCTTTGATTACACAAAGTGTGAATGGGTGGGTTCTTTGTCTCCTGAATTTGTTTTTTTTAATTGGTTCTTCTTAGTTATACATGACAGTAGAATCCACTTTGATAAAATCATACAAGCATGGAGTATATCTTATTCTAATTAGAACTTGTTATTGTGGGCGGGCAAGATGGTGGGATTCACTTAGGTATTTTCATATGTTCACATAGGAAAATTATGTAAAATATATTCTACTGTACTTCCTATTTCTATCCCACTCCCCTCCTTTTTTTCCCCATTGTCTAATCTACTGAACTTCTCCTTTCCCTCTTGTGCTTTATTACGGTTTATTTTTCACTTATCAATAAAAACATTTGAACTTTTTTTTTTTAGATTGACTTATTTCACGTAGCATAATAGTCTCCAGATCCATCAGTTTATGGGTAAACATCATAAAGTCATTCTTCTTTATGTCTGAGTAATAGTCCATTATGTATGTATACCACATCTTCTTTATCCATTCATCTGCTGAAAGGCATCTAGGTTGGTTCCATAGCTTAGTTATTATGAATTGTGCTGCTATAAACATTGATGTGGCTGCATCCCTGTAATATGCTATTTTAAGTCCTTTGGGTATAGACACAGGAGTRGGATAACTGGGTCAAATGGTGGTTCCATTCCAAGTTTTCTGAGGAATCTCCAACTGCTTTCTAGAGTGGCTGCACCAATTTGCAGCCCCAACAATGTGAGTGTTCCCTTTTCCCCACATCCTTACCAATATTTATTATTACTTGTATTCTTTTTTAATATTTATTCTTAAGTTTTAGGTGGACACAATATATTTTACGTTTATGTGGTGCTAAGGAATRAACCCAGTGCCTCGTGCATGCTATGCTAGGTGAGCACTCTACCACTGAGCCACAAACCCATCCCTTTATTATTACTTATATTCTTGATAACTGCCATTCTGACTGGAGTGAGATGGAATCTCAGTACAGTTTTAATTTGTGTTTCTGTATTTGCTAGAGATGTTGAACATTTTTTTCATATATTTGTTGATCATGTATCTTTCTTCTTTTGAGAAGAATCTGTTCAGATTCTTTGCCTATTTATTGATTAGGGTGTTTGTGTGGGGGGGTGTATGTGTGTGTGTGTGTGTGTATGAGAGGTTGTTGTTGTTGTGTGTTTTTTGTTTGTTTGTTTTGGTGTTAAGCTTTTTGAGTTCTTTGTACAAACTGGAAATTAATGCCATATCTGAGGTGAAGGTGGCAAGGATTTTCTCTCATTCTGTAAGCTCTCTCTCCATGCTCCTGATTATTTCTTTTGCTGTGAAGGAGCTTTATAGTTCGATGCCATCCCATTTATTGATTTTTTAAAAATTTTATTTATTGTGCTTTAGTAGTCCTGTTAAGGAAGTGAGTTCTGGGCTAAGGTTGTAGCTCAGTGATAGAGCACTTGCCTTGCAGGTGTGAGGCACTGAGTTCAATCCTTAGCACCACATAAAAGTAAATAAAGGTATTCTGCCCATCTACAACTAAAAAATATCAAAACAAAACAAAAAAACAAAGGAAGTCAGTTCCTGTGCTAATGCGTTGGAATGTTGGGCCTCYATTTTCTTTGATCCTCTTTGGGCCACCTAGGTCTTTGATCCACTTAAAGATGATTTTTATGCAAGGTGAGAGATAGGGATCCACTTCAAAAATATGGAATGCTTCATGAATTTGCATGCCGTCCTTGTGCAGGGGCCATGCTAATCTTCTCTAAATTGTTCCCATATGTGCTGCCAAAGCAAGCATTGTCTGGTGAATTTGAAGATTGAAATCCACAGACCCAAGAGGGAGGGAGGGGTGGGGGGAGAGATAAGTAACAGGATTTATTAGAGCAACAGAAAGAAAGCAGAGCTCCCAAACATGGAGGAGACCCAAGAAAGAGGTGCCAACCATTGTCTATTGTCTAGGGGTTCTTACACTCCATTAATGAGGAACTAACCTTTCATTGGAAACTCTTCTCTTATTTGTTCTCTTTTTGACTCAATTGAAAGTATACAATTTAAATTTCTTATTCCTATAATGGGATGGTTTAATGTCTTTGCTTACCTGAGTYTGTCCTGTACTTGTTCCTTAGAACAAAGGAACTGCTTGAGTTAAAAACAACTCTTTGAGGTTGACTAATGTTAGGGTAGTCAAGGAAATATCATTACCATTGTAGCTTACCTTCCTGGAGTAATAACTCCAGGAATGTATGGTTACCCAAGTGTGAGTGGAGATTTCCACTCAGGCAGCTAAAAACAAACACAACACAACACAACAAAACTAGCGTTAGCCTAAGGCTTTAGTCTGGGGTTGTGGGACCCCCATTCTCTGAGGTCCCTATTTCTATYTTCACATAGGTAATCTAGCTCCTGCTTCACTTCCACAATGTCAGAATTCATTGAATAACAATAAACTCATCACCTATATAACATTCATCAGCATTTTTTGAGAAGTGATTTTATGTATTTTAATTGAGTTTATTCAATTATATTTATTTATGATTTAATTGAGTTTATTCTTTATTCTTTAACAGTAAAGAAAGAAAATAGTAATTGACATTAAGACTACATGAAAAACGTTACATGGTTAGAAATCAAAGGTTACAGTTTATTAGCAAGGAAAATGAAATAAACCTCTTTCCATCCCCCCCCCTTTTCTTAATAAACATAATTTTTTTCCAAGAAAAGAATGGGATATCCATACTTGTCATAGGCTAGTAAGAAAACCATAACAACTAACAATAAGTAATTTTAGAATAGCCCATTAATCACAAAACAAACTATGTAAAAATTAAACCTAACACCATATTGGAAGCACACTTTGATTCACCCAACCTATATATATCAAAATACAAAGAGAAAAATCGTACTAACCCCCTTTAAAACAAAAATCACAAAACACCTCCTCTACTATTAAATCTACCTACTATTGCTTAAAGAATACTTAATCTTATTTGCAAAAGAAAAAGAAATCAAATGTACATATAGATGTCCTGGGACCCTTTTATGAAGGCCAGTGTGTGTGGGGGGGCGGGGGGCAGGTCGGGGAATGAGACGAATTCACCAAGACAAAGAAAGCAATTAAAAAGAGTTTATTGGCAGGAGATAGTCTGCAATAGCCACAATAGGAACAGAGAACTGGGGACTGGGCTTATATATGCTTCTGAATTCTTTCTTTGTCTTTGGTGGGCTGTTTGCTAGGAGTGGTTTATGCTGAACTAGAGGTGATGGGGTGATTGACAGATTCCTCTGCCTTGCCCAGAGTGCTTATTATGCATGTGTCCAWACCTGTTTCCCTGGATTTCATTAGATGTATGAGATGCAAGCAATAGGTATCAGATCTTGAAGGGGGGTTCTCCCTTATTAGGTTACTCTAGATCCAGTTTGGATCTCTGAGTATGCTCCACAACAGTGGTCAGGCAATCTTTTTAAAAAATAAGATCTTGCTATTTCCACTTTGGGGACTCTAGCTCCTCTGATAACAGCAAGAGGGCAGGATGAAGGGGAGGTCCTTAACTTCACATCAGTTCTGCTAATTGAGGTGGGGTGGGGCCTGAGATAAGGCTAATCTATCGTACCCTAATAGATTCATATTAAAAATGAGCCAATTCAGTAGAGTGCTCACCTGGCAAAGTGTGGGGCAGCCTGGGTTCGATCCTCAGCACCACATAAAGATGCTGTGTCCGCCGAAAACTAAAAAATAAATATTAAAAAGTTCTCTCTCTCTCTCTCTCTCTCTCTCTTAAAAAAAAATGAGCCAATGTAGAACATGATATATTTATAACTTTTACCACATTTTTTCATATTGTAAATTTTTTAGGGAATTACACATGAATTGGTTTTTTATAGTTTTTTTATTACATTGATAAATTTCTCTCTTGTGTGATAGGGCTTAAAATATTGGTAAAAATGAAAAGTGTTCCTGTATTTTAAAAATTAATGATGTTTCAATCATCTGTGTAATCATACATTTTTTTCAGGAGGTAGCCACCAGAAGTATTGAGAAACTGTGAATATTCTTGAAGGCTCTCACTACAGTGATTGCTTTTATGGCTTTGATTTGTACTGAAATGACAGAAGACTTCCATATTTTAGTATTTATAGGATATCTGCCCATTTTCACTTTTCTCTGTTTGAAAAAGTTGATAGAGGAGTCTGTATGCAGGCATTTGCAGGAAAGTGAATGGAACTGGAGAAYATCATGCTAAGTGAAGTAAGTCAGACTCTGAAAATCAAGGGTTATAAGTATTATTGCATGTATAGAAGTAGAGGGAATAAAAATGGAGTGGAGGTGGATGGAAGAATCTCAAAAAAAAAAAATAGAAGAGAGACAAGTAGCATAGAGAATGGGGATTTAGGAGAGGGAAGATGGGAGGGAAAGGGGAGGCACAAGGAAATGAAATTGACCAAATTATGCTATGCAGAGGCAGGAATACATCACAATGAAGATTAATATTATATATATTATAATTATTTAATATATAATTATTATTATGTATAATTACAGATTCCCATACACATATGAATGTTATGTGTATGTGAAAATATTTTTGTGTGTGTGTGTACATGTAGTACCAAAGTTTGAATACAGGGGTGCTTTACTGCTGAGCTACATTTCCTAGCTTTTATGATTTCTTATTTTGAAACATGGTCTTGCTAAATTCCCAAAGCTGGCCTCCAACTTGTGATCCTCCTGCTTCAGCCTCTTGAGTTGGTGGGATCATAGGCATGCACCATCACCCCTGGCACCAATAAAAATATTGTTTCTAAGTGAGCTAGAATCACTGAGACCTTTCCTACATTCTTTATATTCATAGAGTTCCCTCCTCAGTCTGAGTCCTTTTGTGCCATAAAACTGAACTAGGAGAATTAAAGGCTTTCCCACAAAAGTTACATTCATAAATTCCATCTCCAGTGTTCAATACCATGTATCTTCTGTAACTTTCAACAGAAAAAAGTGATTTGCCACATGCCTATAATCATAGAATTTCTCTCCAGTCTGTGTCCTTTCATGCGTTTGAAAGGAGTGAAGATCACTGTACGCTTTCCCACAGGTATTACAGTTACATATTCCTGAGTCTCATACAGATTGTACCTAGTTTCTATCAGCAGAATTCTTCCTATTAAGGGATGAGTGACACATTAAGAATATTCCAGGTACAATGCATTCATATCATGTTACTCCATTAGAACTTCTTTTGCTTACATTAGGATTTGGAACCTGGCTAAAGATTTCTCCACTGAGATAATGGTCTTTGCTTTCACAGGTTGCTCTCTACTGTTATTACTGTAAAACATGAGTTTTTACTTCGAAGACTACTACAAAAACATCTGTCCTGTTTTTATAGTAATCTTCAAAGTTCCTGTCTTTACACTTTTTTCCCAGGAAGGCGTAGTTACTGAAGATTTCCCACATGACATCACATCTGTAGCATTTCTCCTAGGAAGGGTCCACCAGAGCCCACTGCTCCTGGTTGAAGTCCAATGACTATATCCTCTAAGGCCACTGAGCCCATTTCTGGCTTCCAGAGTGTTCTGGTGTCCTCTCCACTGTTCTCTCAGTTACTGCAGGTCATGGCACATCACAGCTTCACTGGCAGAGCCACCTCCGTGGTCATGGTCAGCTGAGATGTGCTGACAAAGGCAGTTTTAAACCATACCCATCAATTTTAATTCTCTGACTCCTCATGGTTCACTTGGTGTCATGACTATGGCAATTATAAATTCTCTTATTTCATTCCAATCTTAATTACTAACACTACAGTACACGAAGCACCCATTGCAATTTATAAAATGACATATATGTCAAAGTGTGGCTGTGAAAGAGTTAACAGTGACCATGTGATTTGAAGACAGAACCGAAAGCAAAGGCAGAGTGCTGATTTGGAGCAAAAGAGTCACTGAAGGTAGTCACACAAGGGACAACACAGCCAGAGAACTTGTGGGAGGCATGGAACTTGTTCAAGGAGCAGAGTTTTTCAAGTGGGGAGCTGTTCAAGGGAAGGCCAAGGTCCTGAAAGCAGGCAGGTTGGCAGGCAGTTCTGAATGTGAGCCAGTCAAGCAGGGAGGTAGAGCAGAGATGAAGCCCCAGGCTTGTCAGGAGTCCCTCGCCGCCTATTGCATTCATGATACATTGATCAGGTCGACTGATAAGGTGACAAGTTGGTGTGTACCACTACCTTAATTGCCTCTCCTTTTATACATTTCAGGTGAGAGGGTTTCACTATTCAGCCATCTGGTCTGTTTGATAAGCTGGCAGACCTTTCACTGATATGAGTTTGATATGCCCATGTATTCATGTGCTTCTGTTTCATTGTGTAAGTTCACAGGTGGTCATTTTCTGTTAGCATGATTAATTTATCAGTTTGTGTCTTACGATTGTGCTGTGCCACTGGTGGTTATTCCTTTAGATATGTTCTGCGTGTCCTATATCAGGAATACATGGTGGTTATCTTGTTTAGCCCTATAAGTTAACTCGTTCAGCCTTAGTACTTGTWCTTGGTGGAGTAACCCAGGGGAAACTATGCTTTATAAAATGGAGTAATTCAGGGRTAGGTGCAGCCTGAAATCTGTGTTCCATTACAACACAGAGTAATTCAGAGCTGGGCACAGCCTGCTCTCCAGTAATCGGTTTTTTTAACAAGTAAAACCAATACCTACTCAATGATCTGCAAATTTTAATTCTAAGAACTTCTACATGTAGTCTTGTCTATGAATGCTCACATTTGCATTGTTCATAAGCTTATTCCACCAAGTAAGCAAAAATGTGGACCAACTTGATGACTGAATAAGATCTTACAGTAATCGTCTCCCACTCCACACACACACACAGACACACCAATTTGAACAAGTATTCACCCAAGAAACTATCTTCACAAGAGCTGAGGAAGTCAGATGAGAGAACATTGTGCCTGGTTTTAGTACAACAGTAAAAGACACATTGCAGAGGGCACTAAAAAAAAGAGTTGTCTCTGTCACTTATCACTTATCCCCCAATTCTAAGCAATGCAACATGGAAAGTCTTGTGTCTTTCACTTAGTGAAAGGAAAAATAATTCTTTCTAATCCTAGGGTTAATACCCAGCACCAGGCTCACGGTTGTGCAACCTAGTGCCAACAAGAGCCCCGTGACTCCTGCCATTACCATGGACTCAGCTGCTGGAACTGTGTCAGTCAGGTGACCTAGAGACTGCCTCCACCACCCTTCCCACAACATTGGGAAGCAGAATGATTGCAAGACTCCACCTACTA